CACTCGCACTCGCCCATCTAGTGGTGTCCCGTGCCACTCTGTTGCGTTGGGTCCCGCGATAGTGCAGGTCTCTACTCGGAAAGGAGCCTGTTATAATGTTAAGATCGAGACTTTGGGCTCTGAGCATAACTTGTTTTTCTATAACAAACTATAAAATATTTTCTATAAAAATGTTAATGCCCAGGTAATGGCAAACAGCTTGTTTTATATTTAATTTGATTACATTACTGTTATAAGCTGAGATTTACAAGAAATATTTTAACTGCTACTATGTAAAAGGAATACTGCTGTAAAAAAAGCACCTCATTTGTTTAAAGTGTTTGCAAACCAATTGTTATTGCACTTTTGTTCATATAGCAGTACTTGAAATGAAAAATGAAAAAAGTGCACAATACACTACTTTTGAATACATTATTGAATTTTGTGCATAATGTGATTAATCACAGACAATCATATATATATACACACAGTGGTGTGAAAAAGTTTTTGCCCCCATCCTGTTTTTATTTTTATTTTTTTTGCACATTTGTCACACTTGATTGATTCAGATCATCAAACTAATTTTAATAATACACAAAGATAACCCGAGTAAATACAAAATGTAGTTTTGAAATAATGATTTCATTTATTAAGGGAAAAAAGCTGTCCAAACCTGCCTGGCACTACTTGAAAAAGTAATTGCCCCCTAAATCTAATAACTGGTTGTGCCAATCTTTGCAGCAACAACTGCAATCAAATGTTTGTGATAACTGGCAATAAGTCTTCCACATCGCTGTGGAGGAATTTTGGCCCACTCTTTGCATATTTATTTTAATTCAGCCACATTGGAGGGTTTTCGAGTATGAATGAACTGTTTAAGGTCATGCCACAGCATCTCAATCAGATTTAAATCTGGACTTTGACTTGACCACTCCAAAACCTTAATTTTGTTTTTCTTGAGCCATTCAGAGGTGGACTTGCTTGAACACAAGCCTTGAGCTTGAGGTCACAAACTGATGGCCGGACATTCTCCTTCAGGAATTTCTGAGTGCAGAATTCATGGCTCCATCAATTATGGCAAGTCGTTCAGGTCCTGAAGCTGCAAAGCAGCCCCGGACGATCACACTTCCACCACCATGTTTGACTGTTGGTATGATATTCTTTTTATGAAATGCTGTGTTGGTTTTACCCCAGATGTAACGGGACACACACCTTCCAAAAAGTTCAACTTTTTTGTTTTTCATGTCCGCAGGTTGAAAAAGGACCCAAATAACGTGATATTTAGCCCATGGAATGCAAATTTTACCAGGGGAACCCCACTAAAACACGTGTATTTTATCCCCGGAATGCGATTTTTAATGGGGGACCCCCCTCGAAATGCGATTGGGCAGGTTTTGTTGTGAAAACCTGGCAACCTCTTCATAAAAGCAGTGGTGACCTCAAGAGCAGGGAACGCATCAAACTAACAAAACACCCCGATCAAGTTCAAGCAGGTAAGTTTCAATTACATTTTTAATATTTAGAGCTTCTGTTATGAATATTATTCCATATTTTAATTTGAATGTTGGATTGAAATAATCATCGCCATTAGCGTATACGTAGTTAATCATTAGCATAAGCGCGGCTAACTCTAATATAATGAGCATTAGAATTAAGTTTCTTTGCTAACTATTTAATGCTCCTATAACTTTTATTACTGTAAAAAACAGGAGGACATAATGGTATTTACTATTTTTTTACACACCAGAGGCTTTTAAATGAACTGTGTATCCAAAATATGCATGTTAGAAAATATACAAATGTATGGTTAACAGTGTCTATGTCATATCAGTCTGTCAGAAAAACAGTTGTTGTTGTTTTTTTTTAGTTAGTTGTAATTCTTTGCTGAATATCTCTAGCAGGTTTTAAAAGCCCTTGAAAATTAAATATGAACAATGATTTCATTTATTAAGGGAAAAAAGCTGTCCAAACCTGCCTGGCACTACTTGAAAAAGTAATTGCCCCCTAAATCTAATAACTGGTTGTGCCAATCTTTGCAGCAACAACTGCAATCAAATGTTTGTGATAACTGGCAATAAGTCTTCCACATCGCTGTGGAGGAATTTTGGCCCACTCTTTGCATATTTATTTTAATTCAGCCACATTGGAGGGTTTTCGAGTATGAATGAACTGTTTAAGGTCATGCCACAGCATCTCAATCAGATTTAAATCTGGACTTTGACTTGACCACTCCAAAACCTTAATTTTGTTTTTCTTGAGCCATTCAGAGGTGGACTTGCTTGAACACAAGCCTTGAGCTTGAGGTCACAAACTGATGGCCGGACATTCTCCTTCAGGAATTTCTGAGTGCAGAATTCATGGCTCCATCAATTATGGCAAGTCGTTCAGGTCCTGAAGCTGCAAAGCAGCCCCGGACGATCACACTTCCACCACCATGTTTGACTGTTGGTATGATATTCTTTTTATGAAATGCTGTGTTGGTTTTACCCCAGATGTAACGGGACACACACCTTCCAAAAAGTTCAACTTTTTTGTTTTTCATGTCCGCAGGTTGAAAAAGGACCCAAATAACGTGATATTTAGCCCATGGAATGCAAATTTTACCAGGGGAACCCCACTAAAACACGTGTATTTTATCCCCGGAATGCGATTTTTAATGGGGGACCCCCCTCGAAATGCGATTGGGCAGGTTTTGTTGTGAAAACCTGGCAACCTCTTCATAAAAGCAGTGGTGACCTCAAGAGCAGGGAACGCATCAAACTAACAAAACACCCCGATCAAGTTCAAGCAGGTAAGTTTCAATTACATTTTTAATATTTAGAGCTTCTGTTATGAATATTATTCCATATTTTAATTTGAATGTTGGATTGAAATAATCATCGCCATTAGCGTATACGTAGTTAATCATTAGCATAAGCGCGGCTAACTCTAATATAATGAGCATTAGAATTAAGTTTCTTTGCTAACTATTTAATGCTCCTATAACTTTTATTACTGTAAAAAACAGGAGGACATAATGGTATTTACTATTTTTTTACACACCAGAGGCTTTTAAATGAACTGTGTATCCAAAATATGCATGTTAGAAAATATACAAATGTATGGTTAACAGTGTCTATGTCATATCAGTCTGTCAGAAAAACAGTTGTTGTTGTTTTTTTTTAGTTAGTTGTAATTCTTTGCTGAATATCTCTAGCAGGTTTTAAAAGCCCTTGAAAATTAAATATGAACACAGTTTGCATTAAATAAGAGTACAGTCAAATTTGATCTCCTGTATTGGCTTTACTGTACACTGACTTAATGTTTTCTAACATGAGCTAGATCTAGTAACATCTTACAGTGAGTGAACAATATATTTTTACAACATTCATTAATGTTTGTGAATGTTATTTAATACAAGCACTTGATCATTCATGTTTGTTCATTGTGCATTAAATAATTTTAACAGATTGAACTT